TATAAATGAAGTAAGAGTAAGCAACTTGGTATTGATATTGAAAGAATGAAGAATTTCAAATAATAAAGTATTAATATTGAAAATTTTAATTGAAATATTTTTAAAGTTGTACATAAATGCAATATTTCTGATAAACGAAAATTGATAAAATGCTAGTCAACGTAGTAACTGTTATTTCACTTATATACTTCTTATCTAAGCATAATGTAAGAACTATGTTAAAACTACTGATAAATTTACTTTAATTTAATATTAAGAGTAACCTTTGGAATAATATCATGTTTACGAAAACGCTGTATAGTTAAGAAATGTCTCATAAATCGTATAATATCTACTTTCTGTAAAATAATAAACCACAAGATAAGTCAGTCGTTCTTCAGAAGTTCCATCAACAGGCCCCTCTCAAAAGTTCTGATAGGGTAAACGTATCTCTGTATGAAAGATAATTGTGTCAACTAAGCGAATAAAAATCGATAAAGAATAACCTTTCCGACATTTGACCCTTTCCAACCAAAAAATTGAAATAAAAAAATGTTCTCCTACACTTTTATCCTTGACACCATCTTTTAATTTACCTTTGTAATCTAATCATTAGTAAAAAGTTTCTTTCCAGATGTTTAAATTAAAATGTATATAAAAGGAACTTACTTCTGCATGCAACAATGTACAAAATTTATTTCAAATAAATTAAATTATGAATATGCTCTTCCTAATAATTTTAAATCTTNCGCAGTGCCGGCCCGAGGCAAGTTTTAGGATGGAGCTAGATCCTATTATGGCGTCCCCTTGGTTGCCCCTAATTTATACCCTTTAATTTACTTCACCACTGAGGCGCCCCCAAGGACTTTGCGCCTGGAGCGGCTGCTCCATTCGCCCTATGGTAGGGCCGGCTCGGAGTCCACGTATGCCTATGCATACGCCCTCACGATACTTTCGATTCGTCACTTTTCCGTCGTAGATTTCCCATTTTACAATTACGTGACTCATAGCTTGGTGATAACAGAGAAAAGAGACAGATAGGACGTCGGTATAAGTCACAGTTATGATTTCACAGATTCGAAACAGCTTAGTAGCCCGAACGACCCCAGGCTTTCGCCCGTGCACGCTTAAGTGACTTTCATTACAAGCATTTAGGTTTCCGAAGTCTATGACAACAATTGTTTGGCATTCACGGCCGCGAATTTAGCGCCAATAAGCTGCCTCGACTTGTTCGATTATGTTATCAACTCAATTTCATATTTATTTTCACATTTTCACTTTGCGGTCCTTCTCTGTTCTTCTTCCGTTATTTACACGTGTAGGTCATTTCATTATTATCCATATTTGATATCATCACTTATCACATACTGCCATGACGCTCTTGTCTGAACTGTCAAGAATTAACGCGATTGGCGAAGCGTAGTGACAGTGGGCTAATAGAGAGCAGGGTCCTTGCCGTAATGCGGTTTGCGCGCCAATTTTCGTACGTGCGTTAATCAAGCCGAATATTCGACTATTCGTTGCAACACTACTTTGTACATAAAAGAAATTATTTTAGATAATGTAGGTAATGAAGATTAATTTATAATTGAAATTGGATATATATATATATATATATCCAATTCCAGTTATAAATTAATTATATATGTATATATTATTTTCTAATATAATCATATTTAAAAGATGTAATCATAAAGAAACAAAAACAATATTATTCAATAAAATACAGGTTCATTATTTTAAAAACAAACAAAAACAAGTTTGTAATATTTGATTAATTATAATATTTTTATTCATTTAATTAGCAATGTCATTTAAAAAAATCCAAGCTATAATATTTCAAATTTTCTTCACTAGATGGAGACATATTATAAATAGGTCAGATAACCAATTTAACGATTGATGGAAAGAAGGGCAACGTTCTGATCGTCTGACCTTTAGAAATGTATGGAACTGTAAATAATTCATACAATAGACCCGCTTTAATTTCGTCAATTATACATATTGATCTGGATAAATATTGTTTTAAAACGATTATAACTGTATTAGACAATATATAGTTGCTATAAATTATAACTAAGCATTATTAATTATTTTAATTACTGTTTCTATAATTTTAAAATTTCTAATTTATAAAATTCTAAAATTTGTTAATGTAAGTTTAATCGTCGCGTGTTTGGAGAACGAGAACTTATTCTGAAAATTAATTATTTTTAATTTTAGATTCAAAATTTATACAAAATAATTTATCAATGTTCTGATCAACATTTTATTCTAAAGGAGAAATTTTTTCGTTTTATTTTAAAGAAAAAGTAATGATAATGAACATTCGTTCATTATACTAACGCCTTCTAGACAGTAATATTTACATTTAATTCTGTAACATTCACGTTCAATAAAACGGCATTAAGATGTTAAATTAGACAATGACCTTTATAGAACTAAATGTCTTCTCCACTTGGCACATTCCCAAATATCCTAATATATATAGAAAGTCTCCAGAGAGGAAATAAAAAAATCCTCCTTTCTTACACCTGAAAATCGGATGATCTTTTTATCAAATTACATCCATTCTAACCGTATTCTTGTTTTGATTTTATTTATTTATGTATTCTTTACGTAAATATTTTATTCTGAGATTTAATTGTATCTAAAATCGAATTTTAGCAGTTAAAAAAGACGATTCTTGACATGTGTCGATTGAGCTATGTCACTCAAAGTAATTTTATTGGTTCTAAGAATAGATTTACTGTAAGCTGGGTATTCGATTTTGTTACAATTACACTTATTAAATTGTTATCCGCTTGTCGAGTAGTTGAAAAAACATAATAAACCACTGGTTCTACATTATAGGAAAAAACAAAATTATCAGATTGATCATTATTACTATCTTTATTTATTACATCATTCTTAAATAGTGGAAGCCATTTTATTGTTTATTCTATACAATATTATAATTTTATATATAATAAATTGGTAAAATATTTTATATCTTCTAACTAGAAAATTACACCGAAACTTGTAATTTTAATTATATTGTAAATATGTTATATAATGCATAGAGTTGTACTGTTGTAGGTTTTGCATAAATTTTCATTAAATTAACTTTTTCGAAAGAACTATCTTCTAAAAGCGTTTAGATATTTTAAAATAAATTTTATACATTTATAGTGACAATAATAACATATAATGTTTTTAACGAAATTAATTTTTAAAAATAATAATTCTTATAAATATAAATTATTTTAATGCAATTATAATTAAAGTATTACATCTACATACTATATAGAAATTATTTTTATTTATTAAACAAATTTTTATTCTAAAATTTATTAAATTTTAAACAGCACATTATCAATTCCTCTAAATTTAGCTGTTTATTTATAGAATAAATTATATATAATAGAATTTCAGCTATTATACATCTTTACTTACATTCCTTTGTAAATTAATGCTTTAACTACATAATTACTGTTATGATTATTATTATAATTATATTTTATTTACTTATTTTAAAATACTTACTTTTCATTTCTTATATTATTTCCGGAATGCTTATTATATTAAATAAATTATTAAATAGTTTCTAAATTATATAAA